CCTCACATTATTTGAACTTAAGTAGTCCGTACAAAAGCCTCACATTATTTGAACTTAAGTAGTCCGTACAAAAGCCTCACATTATTTGGACTTAAGTAGTCCGTACAAAAGCCTCACATTATTTGAACTCAAGTAGTCCGTACAAAAGCCTCACATTATTTGGACTTAAGTAGGCCGTATAAAATCCTCACATCATTTAGACTTAATTAGTCCGTACAAAATTCTCACATTATTTCGACTTAAGTAGGCCGTCCAAAATCCTCACATGATTTGAACTTAAGCAGGCCGTACAAAGTCCTCACATTATTTGGACTTAATTAGTCCGTACAAAATTATCACATTATTTCGACTTAAGTAGGCCGTACAAATTCCTCACATTATTTCGACTTAAGTAGGCCGTAGAAAAGCCTCACATTATTTGGACTTAAGTAGTCCGTACCAAATCCTCACATTATTTGGAATTAAGTAGGCCTTACAAATTCCTCACATTATTTGGAATTAAGTAGTCCGTGCAAAACCCTCACATTATTTGGACTTAAGTAGACCTTACAAATTCCTCACATTATTTGGACTTAAGTAGGCCGTAGAAAATTCTCACAGTATTTGGACTTAAATAGGCCGTGCAAAGTCCTCACATTATTTCGACTTGAGTAGTCCGTACCAAATCCTCACATTATTTGAACTTAAGCAGGCCGTACAAAATCCTCACATTATTTGGTAGTAAGTAGTCCGTGCAAAACCCTCACATTATTTGGACTTAAGTAGGCCGTACAAATTCCTCACATTATTTGGACTTAAGTAGGCGGTAGAAAATCCTCACATTATTTGGAATTAAGTAGTCCGTGCAAAACCTCACATTATTTGGACTTAAGTAGGCCGTACAAATTCCTCACATTATTTGAACTTAAACAGGCCGTACAAAATCCTCACATTATTTGGAATTAAGTAGTCCGTGCAAAACCCTCACATTATTTGGACTGAAGTAGGCCGTACAAATTCCTCACATTATTTGGACTTAAGAAGGCCGTAGAAAAGCCTCACAGTATTTGGACTTAAATAGGCCGTGCAAAGTCCTCACATTATTTCGACTTAAGTAGGCCTTACAAAATACTTACATTATTTGGACTTTAGTAGTCCGTACAAAAGCCTCACATTATTTGGACTTAAGTATGCCGTACAAAATCCCCACATTATTTGGACTTAAGAAGTCCGTACAAAATCCCCACATGATTTGGACTTTAGTAGTCCGTACAAAATCCTCACATTATTTAGACTTAATTAGTCCGTACAAAAAAGTTTTGAAAGTTTTCATGAGAAGAAGTCTTAAAAAAATAGTTTTTAGACTTCGTGTATAGTAGTCTGTATAAATTAATTAGACCGTTAGGACTACATACCTGTGCTACAATAGCGTCAATAGTTCGTAGTCCAAAATCCGTACAAAGGAAGACATGGGTATCCTTCCTTTGTGCCTGTATTACCTATATCACAGATGATAGCAAACCTTAAACTTCATGTCGAGATCAAGATGTGTATTCAACACTGAGAAATTAATTACAATGAAACAACACAGTTTTAAAATCTTCATTCATGAGAATACGCACCAGAAAAGAAATATATCCTTGAAATGAAAAACAGTACTAATAAAACAAAAAACGAAATTTAGTTTCTCACAGAATTTTGACGAAATCCCAAGCATATTTTTGTTGTTGTTTTTATAATGACAGTTTGATTACTGAATTATTGCTCTTATATTCCAGGAAGTAATTTCAGCAGCATCTGCGGGAATTGTGTGTGTCAGAGTCAGAGTCAGGTGATAAACATGACGTCAGAGGAATTGCATGAAGCAATATTTCAGCTCAAGAAAGAATTACAAGTCGATAAAACAAAAACAAGCCGTAAGTACTGAAATCCATTGTATCTTTGTTTAATATGCATTTTATAACAGAACCGTATTCTTATAAAACAGAGATGCATATGTACGAAAGACAAAATTTACAAACCCATTCGACACGAAAAGGCAACAACAACAAGCAAAGAGACAGCAAAAGAAAGGGAAAACACCATAAACACATAGTATTGAATGCGAGTGATATCGTTTGATAACACAAAGTAAGCTATACTCTATAAACGGGGAGACATGTATGCTTCTGTTCAATTGATTAATTCCACTTATTTAAATATTTGATGGCGATCTCTTTTGGAACACTGTAGATATTTCATTCTAATAAGTTTTAGTTATGCCTTACATTATTTGAACTTAAGTAGTCCGTACAAAACCCTCACATTATTTGGACTTAAGTAGGCCGTACAAATTACTCACATTATTTGGACTTAAGTAGGCCGTAGAAAATCCTCACAGTATTTGGACTTAAGTATGCCGTGCAAAGTCCTCACATTATTTGGACTTGAGAAGGCCGTACAAAATCCTTACATTATTTGACTTAAGTAGTCCGTACAAAATCCCCACTTTTGGAACACTGTAGATATTTCATTTTAATAAGTATTATTACTCATGCTTATGAGTATAAATAAACGAATTGGCTGTATCATGTGATCCTGTGATGTGAGTATATTATGTGATCATCTGATTTGGTCACGTGATTTGACCATATGATGCAATAAGTGCTTTCTTTCTTTGGCTCTCTTCATCGACTTACTGACTATTTAAATAAGTGTTTATACTTTCTGTATTTCTTCTTATCATTTATTGCTTTTAAGTTTGGCACTACGATACATTCTTTCCCTATTTTACTTCTTTATACCTCAAATTAGGCAATCAATGGACACACTGTAGGTATGTTTTGAACAGAGGAAGATTTTCATTGACCACATTTTCATGTCTTTTTCCAGAAAGCATAAGAAGAAAAATCAGTGCCAGTGACTCAAGAACTTCAGCACAGACAATAGGCACGTTTGGAGCAGTCATGCTGTCTTTTCCTTTTGTTTTCATTATCTTATCTGACCTGATAACCTTGATTCAATTTTTTAATAATACCACAAAGAAAAGACCTAACTTGGATTGGTCATAACTTTTAATGGTTCATTTTATTTATAATGAATCTATTGTTACGTATTTAAGTCATCGGGGTTAATAAGTACAATGCTAAATGAATAATGTCTCATGACTTTCAGTGCTGGTAGCTTATGGTAGAAAAGATGTCCGACAATGTGTTGTTACATTGCCATGGAAACACTGAAACTCGTTATGATTGTTTTTTATTTTTTGTTCATCTCGCAAAAATCTTTTATATTTTGATCCTGTACATTATTTGTACAATATTACAATCTAAGAGTGGTAGCTTCCGCCGACTATGAATGTCATCTGCCCAATGGAAAATCATCTATTTAACTAACGGTAAACGTATCATATATTCGCATATTCCCTATGAATGAATTGCTAGGTACTTTTGAAAAAACTATCCCTTGTCAGCAAAAACATTGTCAGATTTGAATATATTCATTATCAAATAAAACAGTTCATGTCCTTGGAGCATATATATTGTATACACATTTCACTGCATGACTGCCTAGTATCTGGATACGCTCGTATTGATACGGCATAATACAAACATGTTCAATAGGTTTTTTCAGACGTACATAAATGGCACAACATTGGCGTAATTGACACCGACAGTACTACAAAATGACATTTATATTTGATGCAAATATCATCTTTTGTATAGTTTGTATACAATGTAAGCTGAAACGGGCGAACCAAGAATGAGCGAAAATTGGTATAAAGCATTTAACAAAAGGCCTGTATTATCAATTTTTATGTTGAGTGGACTGTTAAATCCAAAACTTGTCAATTATGGTTAGTCTTTGTCGTCACTGTTAGATCGGAGATATTGCATTAACTTGTTTTATGCATGAACATTAAAAATGACACAGCTTGTTGTAAAGTATGCTGAAGCACCGTTCCTTTATACAGGACTCAAACAACACCATTTCCAACGTACTGTCAATACATAGTGTATTCATTGTATTTACTTAAAGCAAAATTACTGGACACGCACATTTATATGTGATATTTTTTGTATTTTAATAAAAAATTGTATGACTTGTATATATTGTAAACCATAATGTCCTATTATATAAAAAAAAAAGAAGGTTTACATGTATATTGAAATAAATAAATATATTGCACTTTATTAAACTAACATTACTTCTCATACTCGTTATTTTATCATTATGACTAATTATCGATCGACCTACTTTAAATTACCACTATTTAATATACAAATATTGACAAACACCTGATCCGATGCACAGTCAAAATTGCCAAATTGGTCTTGAAATATGCCTGAAAATCTCTTCTAATTCGCATAAAAAGTTTATCCCAAGTCAACTTCAGGTTCGTTTAACATATAACAACTTTATTAGAATGTTCCATGTATCCGACCTGAATATCTTATGTCATTTCAGGTAAAGATTTTGCTGAATTTAAAACATAAATCTCTGGATATTCTAATTGTACATGTATATGAGGTTATGTATACCATTTATTTCACCTTGATAGAATATCGTATGATGAAACTTGCCTACCTGAATTTGACCTAAAGTGATCACCTGAGAAGTAGAAAACCATCACATGATATCACGTGACATGCAATTGCAGTAGGTCAGAAATCTTGTTAATTTGAGTTACAGAATACTTCTAAAAAGTCAATTTATAGTTACATAACTTTCTAGAGATCAAGAGATGTGATATTATAGTACGCACATCTCGTCGTATTTTAACTGATGGCAGTGATTTCAATTATTAGTTTTCAGGAGTTAAAATCGAAATAAGTTTTAAAGCCACATTGCAAACCTAACTTTTCATCAGTCAGTTTGGTCCTGGATAAATCCATTTAATAAAATGAACATAGTCAAAACAATAGACCTTCATATCACAAAAAGAAATTTAACATTCCAATGAGGTCAGAATGGCGACTACAAAACCTGCCTACAGTCTTTATCAGTCTGCATCTTGCGAAATATTGTGTTGTAAGTGTGTTCGTCATAAAAAAACGTCAATACCAAAACAACCATATTGGTAGGTGACGATGATAACGACGAAGATGTCTATCATTGCAAAATCGATTCCGAGAGCGTCTGATATCAATACAGCATTAGCATTTTAGTAGGTTTTATTTGAATATGAATTGGACAAATACAACCTTGTTTGCAAAACATTTTGGAACAAAAACCCGCCAAGTAAACAAAAGTTTCTATGTCAAAAACACTCACGACTTACAACAGTATACTATTATAAGGTGTTTTATATCGACCTGCATTACGTAAGTGCATTTTTTTTAATTATGCATCTTAGTTATAAACACGACACACACACAGCGTGGTCAGTAAACAAACGGGTCCCCAATGCCAATGGTCGCCTACTGAAGCCAATAGTACAAATATCGACTGAACAAGGCTGCATTAAATATAACGCGCTTGCGAGGTACCGAGAGTATTAGTAAAAACTAATTTTGCTTGTTACTCAATACGACGTTACTTATGGTGGTAACGTTTGGTATAAATTTATATCATGTTGAAGTTGACTACATCTGCGAAATCGTCGTATAATCTGTGCTCCTGAGAGACAACTGGAGGACTATAAGCGACTGTCCTACTGCGGGACAATATCGGAGTAATTGATTTCCTTACTGAGGGACAAAACGTAGTACAGTAAATGATCTACTGACTGGGTGACAACGGTAACATCACGTGATGGTACCTCTGGAGACAATATGAATATGAATCAGGTATAGGAATTTAGCTACGTTATTGACATGGAATGAATTTACCACCGCAAAACCTTATAGAATCGGGAACTGTCTCCAGTTAATGACTACATTACGCAATGATGTGGGCTTTTTTGCTAACTGCACGATTTATTATTTTATACACGGGTATGTATATTTTTATTTCAAGTTCAGTGAAAATAGTTACTTTATCAACTAATTAACCTAGGCTTTCGTATATGGGTGTATAATTTCATGCCATCGATTCTATCGTTAGTGAACATCCCTGTCAAGTCAACATTAGAGCAACCTACGATATTTCATCATTATAAACATACAGTAGTTTTCCTTCAAATCAAATTCAAATGTGCTAATGTTACCGTGTAAAACAAGACTAGTTTTTAGGCTTGTACTAATGTTACCGTGTAAAACAGGACTAGTTGATAGGCCTGTACTAATGTTACAATGTAAAACGGGACTAGTTGATAGGCCTTAACTAATGTTACCATGTAAAACAGGACTAGTTGATAGGCTGGTATTAATATTACCATGTCAAACGGGACTAGTTGATAGACTTGTACTAATGTTAGTGTAAAACAGGACTAGTTGATAGGCTTGTACTAATGTTACAGTGTAAAACAGGACTAGTTGATAGGTTTGTACTAATGTAACCATGTAAATAGGACTAGTTGATAGGCTTGTACTAATGTTACCATGTAAAACAGGACTAGTTGATAGACTTGTAGATAGGCTTGTACTAATGTTACAGTGTAAAACAGGGCTAGTTGATAGGTTTGTACTAATGTAACCATGTAAATAGTACTAGTTGATAGGCTTGTACTAATGTTACCCTGTAAAACAGGACTAGTTGATAGGCTTGTTCTAATGTTACCATGTAAAACAGGACTAGTTGATAGACTTGTACTAATGTTACAATGTAAAACAGGACTAGTTGATAGGCTGGTACTAATGTTACCATGTAAAACAGGGCTAGTTGATAGACCTCTACTAATATTACCATGTAAATGAGGACTAGTTGATAGGCTTGTACTAATGTTACCATGTAAAACAAGACTAGTTGATAGGCTTGTACTAATGTTACCATGTAAATAGGACTAGTTGATAGACTTGTACTAATGTTACAATGTAAAACAGGACTAGTTGAAAGACTTGTACTAATGTTACCATGTAAAACAGGACTAATTGATAGACTTGTACTAATATTACCATGTAAAACAGGACTAGTTGATAGGCCTGTACTAATGTTACCGTGTAAAACAGGACTAGTTGGTAGACTGGTACTAATGTTACCGTGTAAAACAGGACTAGTTGATAGACTTGTACTAACGTTACCATGTAAAACAGGACTAGTTGATAGGTTTGTACTAATGTTACCGTGTAAAACAGGACTAATTGATAGGCTTGTACTAATGCTACCATTTAAAACATGATTAGTTGATCGACTTGTACTAATGTTACCGTGTAAAACAGGACCTGTTTCTAGGCTTGTACTAATGTTACCATGTAAAACAGAACTATTTGATAGGCTTGTACTAATTTTACCATGTAAAACAGAACTAGTTTATAGGCTTGTACTAATGTTACCATGTAAAACAGGACGAGACTAATGTTACCATGTAAAACAGGACTAGTTGATAGACTTGTACTAACGTTACCATGTAAAACAGGACTAGTTGATAGGTTTGTACTAATGTTACCGTGTAAAACAGGACTAGTTGGTAGACTGGTACTAATGTTACCGTGTAAAACAGGACTAGTTGATAGGCCTGTACTAATGTAACCATGTAAAACAGGACAAGTTAATAGACTTGTACTAATGTGACCGTGTGAAACAGGACTAGTTGATAGACTCGAACTAATGTTACCATGTAAAACAGGACTAGTTGATAGGTTTGTACTAATGTTACCGTGTAAAACAGGACTAGTTGGTAGACTGGTACTAATGTTACCGTGTAAAACAGGACTAGTTGATAGACTTGTACTAACGTTACCATGTAAAACAGGACTAGTTGATAGGTTTGTACTAATGTTACCGTGTAAAACAGGACTAATTGATAGGCTTGTACTAATGCTACCATTTAAAACATGATTAGTTGATCGACTTGTACTAATGTTACCGTGTAAAACAGGGCTAGTTGATAGACTTGTACTGTTACCATGTAAAACAGGACTAGTTGATAGGCCTGTACTAATGTTACCGTGTAAAACAGGACTAGTTGGTAGACTGGTACTAATGTTACCGTGTAAAACAGGACTAGTTGATAGACTTGTACTAACGTTACCATGTAAAACAGAACTAGTTGATAGACTTGTACTAATGTTACCGTGTAAAACAGGACCTGTTTATAGGCTTGTACTAATGTTACCATGTAAAACAAGACTAGTTGATAGGCTTTTACTAATGTTACCATGTAAAACAGGACTTGTTGATAGGCTTGTACTAATGTTACCGTGTAAAACAGGGCTAGTTGATACACCTGTACTAATGTTACCATGTAAAACAGGACTAGGTGATAGACTTGTACTAATGTTACCATGTAAAAAAGGACTAGTTGATAGACTTGTACTAATGTTACAGTGTAAAACAGGACTAGTTGATAGGCTTTTACTAATGTTACCATGTAAAACAGGACTAGTTGATAGACTGGTACTAATGTTACCATGTAAAACAGGACTAGACTAATGTTACCATGTAAAACCGGACTAGTTGATAGACTTGTACTAATGTTACCATGTAAAACAGAACTAGTTGATAGGCTTGTACTAATGTTACCATGTAAAACAAGACTAGTTGATAGGCTTTTACTAATGTTACCATGTAAAACAGGACTTGTTGATAGACTTGTACTAATGTTACCGTGTAAAACAGGACCTGTTTCTAGGCTTGTACTAATGTTACCATGTAAAACAAGACTAGTTGATAGGCTTCTACTAATGTTACCGGGCAAAACAGGACTAGTTGATAGGCTTGTACTAATGTTACCGTGTAAAACAGGACTAGTTGATAGGCCTGTACTAATGTTACCGTGTAAAACAGGACTAATTGATAGGCTTGTACTAATGTTACCATGTAAAAAAGGACTAGTTGATAGACTTGTACTAATGTTACAATGTAAAACAGGACTAGTTGATAGGCTGGTACTAATGTTACCATGTAAAACAGGACTAGACTAATGTTACCATGTAAAACCGGACTAGTTGATAGACTTGTACTAATGTTACAATGTAAAACAGGACTAGTTGATAGGCTGGTACTAATGTTACCATGTAAAAC